TTTCTGCTCATATTGATGATATAATAGAACCCTTGCCATTCTTAGTTTGATAGGTTCGACTAATGAGTCAGCTGCGATCGTTTCAGCACACTGGAGGCTTTTGAATATCTTTTCTGTCAAGGACATTCCAGTCACTGGGTTGCCGGTGGGAAGACGAGACCACGGATCTTCTGCATCCCAACTACGGCAGAAACTATTGATGAAATCTCTTGCATCTTCTCGCAGAAACGAATCACCAATCTCAACAACATACTGGATCTCTTCATATGAGGACCTATAGAGGCGGCTCAGCTGGTCGTACGAGTAAAGCCAATGTGTTACTATTGCGTCATCTGGTAAGGTAAATTCCGTCTCCCGTACCGGGCTTGTACTCCAGTTAGACGATAGAACGGATGGAGATATGGAAGGCATCCTTGACTGAGTAGCTAAGTGTAGGGAAGGGACATTATTTAGGATAGGTTCTGGCCCTCTGTCTTCTGCAGTCTCGAAATTAAAGGATTCAGTTGCATCTAAAGGAGTTCCTAATCCTTCTATGGCCGTAGATTCTTCCGGTGTTATGTATCGGGATACATGTTCTACGCTGTTGCTCCAACACGGCGCCTTTCTGTCAACAAAAGACGCTCGACTAATTTCGTTATAGACAGAACTATACTGACTTGCATCAGGTATTTTAGGATAGAACTGGACTCCTTGAGTATTAGATAGAGAAGTTTCCATTGCTTCGTCCAAGTCCTCACGAAAGGAATGCTCAAATACTAGCTTATGAGGGGAAAGCTTAGCCTGGATATAATCAAGACGTTTGCCCTGTATAGTTGCAAGCAACGTTAAAAACGCCTTGCCTAGATGGATGAACTGATGAGTGTCAGTCGGGCCTGCCTAGACATTAATACCGTACATCTTCTCCCGTTTCTTCCAACCTAGTCCAGCTATGGCTCAGTAGAGCTTCGTTCGCATCAGGACTCTATCAAATATCAGAAAAAATAACTCGAAACGATAAGGGTACATGCTAGGATAAGAGAGCGCATGATATGTGAAAGAATATAGCGTATCACTACGTGTAATATAGGACGGAGCACTGTGTTTAGGGAAAGACGATATAGGAAACTGTGCAGCGCATCAGGAGTGGTAGGAGGGAAAGACACAAAGTTTATTACCACTCTAACATTACTGACGACAGCAACTTTTAACCCACATACAGTCAATGTCGTTTTAAAAACAACTAATTTCTGTCCCTATGTGCCGAAAACGACCAATGGGAGCGCAACGGTCATAGATAGGTTGTCGCACACGTAGATGCGGGGTTGTGTGGCAAGAATAAATGTGCGTATATTTTGATCAACTTTTCCGATGCTCCTCTTATATGTATATGATCGTTGCGGCGGTTCATCGTATAATTATAATTTCTGCAATGGCTCGGTTGCAATTGCTGCCTTCGTATTCTTGCATATACTGCGATAGTCCGCTATAGCTACAATGTTCTGCACTAGCCGCAGACGCATCCTTGCAGCGGCTGCGATAGAAGTCTGTGATCCTTTCAACCCGATTGGTCACTCTTTAGACATAGAGATGGATGTCAATTAATATGCGGCCACCTCTATAAGTAGCTCAAGCTAACCTACAAAATACGTGCAACCCAACCCTCAAAGACTTAAAAATCGCGGAACTGCTATCTAAGCAACATGCCAATCAGGTGGAGACCCTCTAAACCTATTCGAACGTTCATTGATGAACACGACTATACATATTTTAAAGACAGGAATCGTTATTGTGAACGCAGAGTCTTTAATGATAAGGGCCGATTTAGCGATCAAATACCTAAAGACAACGAGCGCGAGATATATGACGTTGAGGGGACCTTAGAGGTTCAAAGGCAACTCTTATCCAAGCTAGCCGCGGTTGAAAATCAAGTGACTGGAGAATCTGAAAACAGTGTGCACCGAAGGCGTATTGAGGCTCTTAAAGCAGACACGGTTCAAGCGTTACAAAAGACTTGGAATCAAAGTAGTCGGTCTACTGCCTATCGAAAATCACTTTATTTGATGCGTTGACGCAAGATCGATTGTAGGTTCGATATATGTAAAGAAAAGTAGCGTTGGGTGTGATTATTTGTATTTATTGAGTACTTGATCTCTCGTGATCTCTCTAGTTTTACGTGATATTGTTAATTATGCTGGTGAAGCTCAAGCTGGATAGAATATTTAACTCACCATATAACTAGTCCTAGTTCTAGGACTAGAACCTAAGCTGCTTTAAGAATAGATTTCACTGATCAAGGTAGACTCTGGCTAAGATTAGAGAACAATCTCAACTACGATAGTTGGTAAGTGTGTGCTGTTGATATGCGCGTTGAGAGCTCTGACATATCGACTGACCCTTCTAGAACACCTTGAATCGCTCATACAGTACGGAGTCAGCCACTTGTCTGCTTAGCATATCGACAATTACGAAAGAAGTAAAAGTAGAAGAATCAGGGACTGCAAAATTGTCCTTGACACAGCGACAAAGAAGAGCACAACTAAGTAACGCCTGCGACCACTGCCACCGCTTGAAATGTAAGTGCGAGGCCCCTTTTCCCTATCGAAATGGTAAAAGGTGCGGTATCGAGTGCATTGAGCGGAAAAGAAAGCTGAAGGTCAGACCGATAACCACATCTTACTCGATACCTACCACTATACTCAATCTGGAGGCGGGCCCCGGCCCAGGGGTCAGTCAGATTTTCTATTGATACGCAGTGCGGGGATGGCACGTCTCCAGAGATGCGAAAGGACTGAAATGATCCAAGTTAGGATGGTCCTGGAAGTCTAGTTCTATGGATAACTATGTGTAGCAGACTTTTAGAGCAAGCGCAATTTTCGATATAGTTATCCTTATTAGAGCATCAAACAACACACTATGTTTCCGCCACTTCGATCTTATGCCACAAATTTACATACATACGTAATGTAACTATAATGCTGAATGTGGTGCCTAGGCTCCGCCATCGTGTCTTGCGTTGTTGCTTTGTGAGTAGATGGCTGCTGCTGCATTTGGTAGACGCGTTATATCAAGTAAGCAGCTTGCTCGCAAATTCTGCTGTCTGTGCCAGCCAGAGCCGCAATAGTAGCTCTATAGGTGCCAAACCGACGCGAGGGGACGCGCGATGACCTGCAGAGACCATTGCGGCTATTAGTGGGTGTATTTCTAGTCCTTCGTGATGATGATTCTAAAAAAATGAATACTCGCTGTTTATCGTGTTTCAGTTTTGATAACTGCAACTAACTACTCGGGCCCAACGGC